AACTACAATTTAACTTTTTGGAATTTTCTAAATAACTTTATTTTCATTATGATAAAAAATTAAAATATGTACACCCCTGATGTCTTATCTTTGTATATTTCTTCATAATCTACGGGCCGGACAAGGGACATGCTTAAACCACAAAATATTAAATAAACAACGGCTCCATTTTCCGCGCCAGCTTCTAATATATCATCTGTGCATCTCATTCTCTCTTTAAAAATTATAGCCGCCGAGGCAAGCCTCACGGCATTGCTCTGTCTGACATATTAGACATCACAATATCTAGCGAAATTCAACATGATTTATTTATTTTCTGCCCACGATTTCACCGAAAACGAGAGGCATGCCGCTCTGGTTTTATGTAGTTCTTTTAATTAGCAGCGTTGCCGTTTGGGTACAAAGGTACCCAATTCGCTACATTTTTTCCCTCGGGGTATAAAAGTACATTTTAAATAAAACATAGATTTTTATTTGAAAATTGGTAACAACATTGTTATGTTGTAGTAGAGTATTTTCCTTTAATAGATGGTACTATACATATTGTTCTATTGTTTTCCGATTTAACAAAAAATATTTTTTTTCTATGCATTTACCAGATTGGCAACATTGGTACATTTTGGAACATTTCTGCAAAATTGTTGTAGTAAGAGTAAGTAGTAGTTAAATTACTTCCTGTTGACCTCTTTGTGCGGCAGGATCACGTTTGACGTATCTCGTGTTGTTTTTCATTAAAAAAACAGTAAGATTACATGTTATATAATAAGTGCAATTCTAATTAAGTTTTTTTAATAATTTTGGTGGGTTTGTTTTTGTCTGCAGGATTTTCGGTTTTAGTGAAAAATGGATTTAGCACCGAGCACTTCGTCACAACTTTCCCAGGTAAATGTAAATATTCGTAATACTTGTGATCTCGTAAATTTTTTAGTCAATCAGCAGAATTTTTCAAGTCATTCATATGAAGATAAATTATATATAGTTAAAGTCGTAAAACGACCTATTCCAGATTTAAGTAAACATCTTGTTTCTATCGGTGGCGTCGGAAAACCAAATCGGGGATTTCAAAATGCATGGTACGAAAAGTTTGACTGGCTTACGGGTAGTATAACATTAAATAAATTGTTTTGTTGGCCATGCATTTTATTTGCCACAGCTAATACTAGCGACAAAGTTTGGTTCAAAAGTGGTTATACTGATTTGAAAAATTTGTCTCGGAGTCTATTGTTACACAATAAAAGTTCTCAACATATTACATCGAATTGCAAGCTTACTCTTATGAGAAAACAAAAGCAAAATATCGCCACAGCACTAGACAATTCGCGTAAAATAGATATTGAAAATTTCAATGCTAGGGTTAAAGAAAATCGGCAAATTTTAAAAAGCCTTATAGATATTACGTTACACCTCTGTATGCAAGAGTTACCGTTTAGGGGGCATGATGAATCTAATGAATCTTTAAATCGCGGGAATTTCAAAGAGCTAGTTGTTCTTGTTAGTAAATTTGACACTAATTTAAAAACATTTTTAGAACATGATAATGACTCTAGATCAGTTTTTTCTGGGACATCTAAAACCATACAAAATGAATTAATCGATTCAATTGCTTTTGTTATAAATAAAAAAATTGAGGAAGAAATTTCAAAATCATTATTCTTTTCCTGGCAGGTGGATGAGACTACTGATATAAGCTGCCATTCACAACTATCCGTTATTTTTCGATACGTAATAAACGATAAACCAGTCGAACGATTCATGGGATTTTACGATGTAAGTTCCGGGCGTTCTGCTCAAGATTTATTTGAATTTTTATCTACCAAATTTCGAAAGTTCAACTTGCATAGTAAATTAGTGGCTCAGACATACGATGGAGCTTCTGTAATGTCGGGAGAAGTGAATGGTCTACAGGCAAAAATTAAATCTATAGCGCCTCAAGCCATGTTCATTCATTGCTATGCACATGTATTTAATTTAGTTTTAAGTAACGCATGCAGTTCAATTCAACAAGTTAAAGTTTTTTTCTCAACCTTATCCGGTTTTTCTTCATATTTTTCTAAATCTACAAAGCGTACCCAAGTGTTAGAACACATTGGAGGAAATCGTATACCTTCTAATGTAGCAACTCGCTGGAATTTTACTTCACGCGCAGTTCTCACAGTTAATAATAATAAGGATAAATTACTTGAGACCTTTGATTTTATTATTAATAGTCGCGATTTTGATGACAAAACAATAAGAGAAGCAGTAGGTTTAAAAGCTTTTTTAGAAGATCCTCAGAACATATTTTTTTTAGAAATATTTTCGTTGATTTTTCATCAAACTGATACTGTTTTTTCCATTCTACAAAATAGAAATACAGACATTGTTAAGGCCAGAAATTTACTTCAAAATACCCTAAGTAAAATACGTGAATTTAGGAGTAACAGTACTTATTTTGATACAATTTATGAAAAACTGGATACCGCTGCGTTACACTCGAAACGTCGTCGTAAGGGAGTTGAAATGACTGATAAAACTCAACAATTAAGGCAAATTTTTTTTGAAATTCTTGACATTATAGCAACCCAAATAGAGGTTAGGTTTTGCGACGTTGAAAAATTACATTTCTTTGATCTGTTGAATATATCAAAATTTCCCATTTTTGCTAAAGAATTTCCTCATGATCTATTAAAAAACTTGACAACGCAGTATAATATTTTTGATATAAATCAACTAAAAAGTGAGTTATCCGCTATGTACGGGAATGATATAATAGAAAATTGCGCAAGCCCTTATGAAATGTTAACTTTTTTTCACGATTATGATTTAAAACTTTGTATGCCAGAAGTTTTTAAATTATTATGCATTTGTGTTGTTTTGCCAGTGACAAGTGCTTCTGCAGAAAGAAGTTTCTCCGCGCTAAAAAGGATTAAAAATTACATCAGAAATACAACTGGACAGACACGATTGAGTAATATGGCAAAAATCTCAATTGAAAAATCATTTATAAAATCACAGGATGAGAACGTTTTTATAGACGATGTAATAGATCATTTTGCAGAACAGAAGTCTCGCAGAATTCCTTTAATTTATAAAAAACTTTAATTTTAGAACTCAGTTTTCCTTTTAGAATTTATATTTTTTGAAGTTTTTCTAAAATAATTATAATTTTTAAAAATCGTGAAATAAAAAACCAAAAAACAAAATTTAACCCTTTGTTTAAGTTTATTTAACGTAAACGGCCTCACGTTATGATGTCACAAAATCGACCTTCCGACTAACATCTTACGACGAGAACGATCAATGGAGATATGCTAGACCGAAGCTTCAACTGAAGGGATATGTGAGAGCGTGAAGAAGATGGCACTAGATTAGCAGTCGCCATTTATAACACTTACTAACAAATCTCCCAGATAAAAAATACCTACTAACCCCCAAAAAAATATAAAAATCCCAAAAAAATTAATAAAAAATATAAAGATTCAAAAAAAATATAAAATAATAAAAAATTCACAAAAAAATTATAAAAATAAAAAAAGGCCACGGGAGAGGCCACCTAGATCCTTGAGGCTACAACTTGGCCGCTAACCAAGGTGCAGGCTCGAGGATTAGAGCTCCCTCGTTTTTCGTTCGCTTTTATCTCACGATACGAGATTTCATGATAAACCGGAGTAAGTCGCTTAACGACACCTTGGGTATCATTTAAGTTACATTTATGAGCACCCTATTACACATGGTGCTCATAAATACAGCTCAATCGCGGACTTTTTCAAAAAGCAGTCAGCCCTTATGTTGCACCTTCAGTGCACATAAGGGAGGGTGGAGGAGGGCTTAGGAGAGCTTTGAGGTGAGGATGACTTTTGTTGATCCGCGCGCGTATCGTCAGAAGTCCTTCTCACGCCAAGTCATTGTTTGCTGGCGCGAGCAATGCCTCCTTAGCCGGGTATGACTGGAGCAAAGAGAAGCTAACCATAATAATAATAATTTTCCTTAAGTGTAGTGTGCCTCACCATCTTGTACTATCACGAGCCGCCCCTGGAAACGACTGCTAATGTTTTTGAGGAATATGTCACTCAAATGATATATTTATTACCTACCAATTCTGCAATAGTCATGGACAATTCCCAGTTACCTTTCAAGATTAAAGGAACCGTTATCTCACACTAAATGGAGAAAGCAAGAACTCAGATTGTTGTCTTAGAAAATTTAATAAGTATAGTGTAGATGAAATATCAAAAGATCATGGAGTTAAAGTGTTTCGATTACCACCTTATTACTGTGAACTTACCCCCATATAACTAATCTGTGGCAAAAATCTATAAGACGTGTCATAGCAGAGAAAGAAACATTCTGGAAACTCGATATGTTAATAGAGGAAACAATAGAACTAATTATTATTTCTGTGGGAAATGAAGAAACTGATGATGATGATGCCTCCTTATCTGAAGAAGACAACTTATGTATTTAGGTATGTAATTATATATTTATTTTACTAATTATGTTTATCTGACGCTAGTATCCGAAATATATTTATTATTGAATTGTAAAGAAATGTCCTAAACCAATATTTAGTATTTTTATAAAAATTAATGTGGGTACGTAATATTGACATTTTAGATTTTTTGTATTAAATTAATTTTATGTATAATCCCTTAGGGTTTGCTCATTTGCATTTTATGGTGTATTGTATTTGAGGTTTGTCGTGGTGGTCATATTAAAGTCGAGTGAAAATTCAGATAAGAAGGTATCAATTATTACGTTTTTTCTGCATTGGCCAACCCTATATTTGACCTTTGCTATAACATTTCTGCTATCAATTATTTTCAAATCTGTAGCTCGAAGTAAAGAAATATTGAACAATTCGTGGGAATTAGATGACGTGACAGGTAAAATATTAAGTGAATAGAAGTAACACAGGTGGAAATAACGATTGATACTCCGAACTAATAAAAACAAGCTCAAAAGCAAAAAGAAAAACTTGGATCATGTGTTTACATTTTTAAACCAGATTATTTATATCTACCTTATAAAATAAAAGATTTAGCACTTACATCACTGGCATTCCTGCTGATATTTCTACTGATGAAAGAACCAGTGGAGTCGTTTCTCTTTCTTCTCATATCTCCATTGGAACTGTTGACTGCATTTCTCGAAGACGATATAATAGGAACTAACGTTGGTTTGAATCTCTCCCCGAACGAAGTTTTCCTCATTCTATCAAAAGTAGGCACAGATCCATTCTTCGGTAAACCTTGAACGTGCGTTGTAAAAGCCGGTTGACTAGCATTTCTAGGCATAATTTTAGGGTTTCTAGGTACTTCGATAGCGCTGTTATCCGAATCTCTTCTTACTCTTTGGCTTGTTTCCGACGGACCGTTTTCTACTTTTTTACCTGATTTAATCTCCGTAATACTTTCCCTTGGACTAGGTGTTCCAGAGCTGCCGCTATGTTCGGTGACTTTAGCTTCTGTTATAGTTGGAAGAGTAGGTACAGTGGGAATTGGGGTAATATTGCTTCCCGCAGCTAGTTGATCTAAAGCTAAACTAGAGTGTACTCCAGGATCTCTATTAATAGGTTGTTTCTGTCTTTTCTCCATGGTTCCATCAGGAAGTTGCACCATGAAGTAAGATCCACCTATACTGCCTCTTTCCATCGCCAACTTCCGTTCTTCTGCCATTCGCTGTAAAAGAGGTTTCTCTCCGCTGTCTTTTGGATATTCCAATGGTCTCATCAAAGCACCAAATATGATACAATTGAGAATCAGCCCTGCCAGTATAAGATTCGCTCCTCGCCAACCGTATTCTTCCAAAAGAGCAGTAGCTAGTGGCGCGAAAGTGAATGTACCTACACCCGATCCACATACTGCTATTCCCGTTGCTAGCGACCTTTTTGTTTCAAAATAATACCCGACACAAACCACTGCCGGTAGATAAATCAAACCGAAACCGATTCCTCCTATAAATCCATACGTAAACATAAGCCAGTTCACAGTTGGACTGAATATCGATAATACGAAAGCAATGGTGGCAATAATACTTCCCGAAATACACACTGCCCTACAACCGAACTTGTTCGTCAAAGCACTTACTAGCGGACCCGCGCTTAGGTACATTCCCGAAAGGAGGGATCCCACCCACGCCGTTCTTCCTTTAGTTTCATCATAATAAAATACTATATCGGAGAGGAAAATACCGAACGTATAGGCTATACCGTCCACGATCATGTTACACATGAACGAAGCGAATACCACGACCCATCCGTATCCCCCGTCGGGAGGGGGCGGAAGATCGTGGTAATAGCAGTACTCATCTTCGAATTCATCTTCTTGTTGTTCTGCTGTTAAACGGGCTGCTTCTTCACATGCCACTTCACTATCAGTCTGAAACAGAAAAAAAGGATTAGATATTAAGAATTTACTAAATAGTAAAGAAGGTCTGTAAAGACCACCTCTAACATTGAAGATAATGGTTATGACCGTACGAATGCATGTGTAATATCTTCAACTAAGTTATTTGATCTAATTTGATTTTATGTAGTTATTACGAACTCATATTTATGATGTATTTCTATTCACACATGCATTTCTAAATACAGTTTATTCGCCATACAACTTAAGTGATCTTCCAATAGCAGCATTTGCTAGTAAAAGTGTAAAACGACACTTATTTTGAAGAGAACTTCAAAATAAGTTTGTTGTCAACTGCTTCAAGTTGATAACTACAATTGATAAGTTGTTAAGTACAAATACTGAATTAAAAAACCAAGAATACGAAAAAAATCTGTAAATAAATATATTTTAAGTAACTAGAACAACATGTGAGAAAATAATGTACTGTCGCCTCTACTCATTTTAACAATCAGCCCAATTTTGTACTTAAACGTTTTGAGTTCAGAATTTTCAATTGTATTAAAATGACATTAAAATCAACAGATGGTGCAAAAACCATGGCTGGAATACAAGATGGTTGTAGCCAATATTATGCCGCCAAGGTGCTAGGTGTACGTTGTTGTACTGTTTAAAGAGCCATTAAATGGTTCAATCAAAACGGCAACTACACTAGAAGGTCAGGATCAGGCCGTCAGCGGGATCAGGAGAGCAACATTCGCACACGATGATTTATTTTAGGTTTCTTCGTTTTTAAAAATAGATATCTAACTTCAATTCAGCTGGAAAGTCGCCTGATCTCTGGAAGCTTGAAATGTAGAAGTAAGTAGGTGGACAGTTCGTCGACAACTTGATGAACCGAATTTATTATCCATAAAATACGAAAAATCGGAATTACGCAGATTGGAGTAATTTTTGATCTCAAATGATCCAGGTTTCTCTTGAGATCACCGGAAGGTCACTAAAGAATCTATAGAAGACAAGGAGAACGTTTTGCCCAGCGCATTATTGCCGACAGAATAATCTGTCTGGTTTAGTCTGGTATAAAATCCAATGCCCGTGCTGACTTAGTTCTCGTGGATCGAGGTTCTATGGGCAACTTTTTTGCGCCATTCATAGGACCCAATTGTATTTTTATGGAAGATAACGTTCGTACTTAGAAGACGTCGAGATTGTTCGTTTAGACAAATTGTCTGTTGACAATATGGGATGAATTGCACCAACTTCATGTTCAAAACTTAATTACCACAATGTCAAGAGGTACGCAGGCTATTATAAGGGTCCAAGGAGGAAATAATATTAAGTATTAATGATAAAACCCAAAACAAGAGATAACAACACTGAGGCAAAACTGGATAAACTGATAGGCATAATGAACAACCTGGCAAGTGACATTAAAGAAATAAGAAAAACCCAAAACCAAAGAAATAAAGCAATAGAAAGACTTAGTTCTAATAACTAGGCTTTAAGAGATGAAAATGAACACCTGAAGAAAGAAAATATGGAAATTAAAATGGAGTAAATGAAGTAAAGGAAACTATTGAATGTATGAAAAAACAAAGAAAAAAAAATAATGTAGTCATTCATAACTGGACTAGTAATTGATACATACGATAAGAGCGTTTTAAAAGAGGAAATGAGAAACTTCATTAAACATCATAATTTGGAAATAGATGTTGAAATTGAAAAACGCATACAAACTGGGAGAGAAAACCTGCCTAATGGAATTAGTAGAACATGAAGAGAAGGTAAAAGTTATGAAAAATAAATTAAAACTAAGAAATATTAAAGAAGGAAAAATATACGTAAATCTCGATACTACGAATACTACTACTACTACTACTATCGGTTTACAGTGTTCTCCGACGCCTTCCGACTCCTAACCGCCATTCTTCTCTATTCAACCATAGGCCTGGAGGGATTTCTCTTTCCTCTAGTTCTTTTTCAATTCCCTCTCTCCAGCTTCTTCTCGGCCTTCCTCTTTTCCTTCTCCCTTGTGGTGTCCACGTCAAAATCTGTTTTGGAATCCTGTCATCTGGCTTTCTCTGTACATGGCCGTACCATATTAACTGTTTTGTTTTTATGTCATCAACTATTGTATGCTTGACTCCCATCATTTCTCGTATTCTCTCATTTGGTATCCGATCTCTTCTTGATTTGCCTGCTGCTCTTCTCCAGAAGTCCATTTCTGTTGCTAGTAACAGTTTCTCTGTTCTTTGTTTCATTGGCCAAACTTCACTGCCATATGTGATTACACTTTTAAGTATGGTATACGAATACTACGGTATACGGTACTACGAATAAAGAGAGAGAAATTCAGAAAACAATTAGAAAACTTGTACGAGAAAAAAAAAGAGAAAGGAACTCGTGTAAGAATTGGTGTAAATAAAATATGGATTAATAAAGTAGGATGGAAACTGGACAATTAAGAGACCAAAATAGTCAAAATATAGCCAAATATCTAGTAAACCATTGCTCCAGTAATACTATGACGAACCAGGCAATGACAATGAACATAAGCAATTATAGAAGAAGCGGCAAAAACACAGATAGATACATAAATAATAAGCAAAACTGTGAGCAACGAGTGACAAGAAAAGAAAAATCCCTAAAATGCAGCCGGCAACGAGCGAGAACATAAACAGTAAATATTTAAAACCTACATGCAAAACGAAAGAGTCCAATGACACAACCACAATAACAAAGTAGTTCCCAATCCCAAAGAATGGACATTACCAACATAGAATGTCAGAGGTTTAAAAGGCAAAGAAGTTGAACGTGCTGAAGAATTTAAGAAAAATCAAATAGATAAAAGTGAAGTTCGTGTAACCTTATGGCTAAGATCTAGTGTTGGAGTTTTCAGGACGCGCAAGCGCCCCTAACATGACTTAACGACTACTTTCGTAGCTGGGACCGACGGCTTTACGTGCCCTCCGAAGACAGTGGCAGCTCAGTTAAATTAGAAATTGAAAATTTTGTCGGTGCCGGGATTCGAACCCGAGCCCTCCAGCTTGTTAAGCCAGTAACATAGCCACTGAGCTACGGCTGCGTTTACTTTACTTTATCAAGTAGATTTACTAGATATAACAGAGACCAAAATGAAGGTATTTTTTAGAGAATGGACAATTCCTCATCACCAGTGGAGTGTCATAAAGAGAAAGTACAGAAGAAGTTGTAGACTGTCTAATAAACAGTAACCTAATAAAGAATATTAAAGATTAGGAATGCATGATAAGGCCCCAGACAGTTTAGAAGGCAAAACTATAGTATTAGGTAATCTAAACTGTCGAGTGAGTGCAAGTGATAAACATACCCCAGATGTATTAGGCACATATGGTGAAGAAATAAAAATCAATAATGGGATTCGTATTATTGATCTATGCAGAGAAAATAATTTAATAATAATAATTTAATAAGTTATTAATAACTATGTGATATTGGACAGACCGTCAAGGCAATGTATTAAGAACGTAAGAGTAAAACGGGAAGCTGAAATAAATAGTGACTAATATCTAGTTGCAGCTAGGACCAGATTGGGAGTGCGACGAGAACCAATAACGAAAGATACAAAGTAAAAAATTAAACCTCATAATACCTCCCCTATAGAAGTAATCAAGTCATATAAGCTAGCAGAGAACCAAAGTCAAACAAATTGTACTAGCAGCGAAACGGAAAAGTTGGCAAGAATACTGGAAACAAGATGGAAGAAAACTACCACACTAACCCAAAGTATTCTTCAAAAGCCTGAAGAATCTAAGAACTGAAAAGTCTGATAAGAGACAACTACTGCATGACAATGATCACCTCTTAGCTAGATGGAAGCAATATTTTGAGGAGCTACTAAACACCCAAAACAATGCAGACAGCAATCAAGAAGAACCAGAAGAGGTAGAGCAAGAAGACCAAAATCCAGGCGAAATAACTATAGCAGAAATAAAAGAAATTATACAAAAACTTAAAAAAGGTAAGGCGACTGATTTGATAAAATCACAGCGAAAATGCTACAAAATATGTGCGACAAAGGTATTGAATTGCTAAGATAGAATAAGGCACGAAGTGAGAGCAAAATAACAAAAGATTGGAAAATGGAGTTATTCTACCCATCTTCAAAAAGGGAGATAGGCGGTAATGTGGTAACTACTAAAGTATAAAACTACTGAGTATCCCATCCAAAGTGTACGAGAGAATATTAGAAAAACGTCTTTTACAATAAAATGATTCTAAAATGGAACAATCTCAGAGTGGGTTCAGAAAAGGCAGAAGCATTTAAGACCACATTTTTACTATCAAGAAATTAATACAAAACTCTCGGAACTGCACTGGGTTATACCAAGCCTTTATTGACTTAGAAAAACCATTTTATAGTATTCCAATAAATGTGATAGACGTATGCTTAAAAAAGAAAGGTGTATATACCAAACTCAGGAAAGCCATTATAAGTGTATACAGACATAGAAGGAACAGGCTCAGAACTAATAATAAGAAGAGTTTATAGTAAATGATGCCCCATACTATTTAACATAGTCTTGGATGACATAATTAGAAGAAACCAGAGCAGAAGCATCGAAATTATATACCAGACATAGAAATCTAGAAGCGGTAGGATCTTAGAGTGCGCATACGCAGACGATCGTGTGATATTTGGAATAAATGAAGAAGAACTCACTCATAATATACAAGTATGGAACGCTGCACTAATGAAACTAAATTTGGGGATTAATAAAAAGAAAACTAAAGTTATGGTATGCGGAAAGAATAGAAAAGATAAAAATTTAAGGGAAATACACTCGAACAAGTCCAAACCTATAAATACTTGAAAAGTTTCTTAGAAGAATAATGGGTATAACCAGATTGGACAGGATTAGAACTGAGGCAGATAGAGAACATCTTAAGGTCCAATCAATTACTAAGAAAATTGAGGAGGCCTAACTAAGATGGTATGGATACATGATTGGAATTAATCAAGAAAGACCAGTTAAACAAGTACGAGAAGC